TGGGTGTCACATAGCAGGGGAGAGAGTCCTACTGACAAGCCACTGACTGAGGAGCCCAAGGACCAGCTGGAGAAGTGCAGAGTGCTCAGCAGGAAGAACCTGGGGCACCTAAGCCTCGGGTCTCCTTGGGGCTTCCTGAAGGGGAATCCAGAGTGCACGGGGTACACTGCGTCCACGCTCTCAGCCTGATGACGAAACCCAGTGTCCTCTCATTAGCAGTGAGCAGCGGAAGTGTCTCACAGAATGGGAACAGTCTGTGGTCAAACCCACTCAGCCAGCCTGATAGCGATGGGAAGGTTGGTGGGTACAAAATCGGAAGTTCCTACTGCTCAAGGCATTAGGTTAGGATAAACATTTTGTTTTTGTTTTTTGGTACTGAGGATTGAACTCAGGACCTTCCACTTTCGAGGCAGGCATCAGAACCACTGAGCTAAATCCCTGGCCTTCAAGGCATTAGGTTAGGAGAGCCAGGGCCTCCTTCCACCAGGAATAAGAATAGCCTTGCAAATAGGGCCCATCATCATCATCGTCATTGTCATCGTCATCATCATCTTGGTGTTGTGAGACAGGGCTTACTATGTAGTTCATTCAGACTGGCCTTGAACTCACTATGTAACCCAGGCTGGCCTTGAACTCGCACTGATCCTCCTGCCTTGGCCTCCTGAGTGCTGGGATGATAGGCGTGGGCCTCCATCCCCAGTTGAAGTTCTCTTTTTGACCAAGATCCTGTTGTCCAAACATTACGTGATGGCTTTCCTGTGTTCTCCTGGCTGCTCTGCTTCTTTAGCTGTCTAGTACCTTTATTGTATTACCGGGTGTGATGAGGCCATAATTCCCTCCAGTTGGAAGGCTGGCCTTGGCCTGGTCTTCACACCCTGGTGTGGTGCCCTGGTCTTAGGGCATATGTAGTGCAAACTCTAGCCACTGCGAGCCCTCTGTTAGCCATAGCTCTGGCAACACCAGGCTTGGCTCAGCAGCAGAATGAAGGTTAGAAATACATTCTCAGGGACTGGGGAGGAGCCAGTCCTAGCAGGTGTGACCCTCTGGATTCCATTCCCTAGTACAACCTAAAAAAAAGAAAAAGAAAATGGGTTTTCACTGTTGAAATGAATAGATTGTTAGCCAGTATACTTCGGGCTAGAAATGGGCTCATGTTGGTAAAATTGGTGAAATTCAAGATAAATTACTCAGCCAGCCGTGACACACGTGCCTATAATCCCAGCACTCTGGGAGGCTGAGGCAGGAGGATTGGAAGTTCAAGCCCACCCTGGGAAATTTAGTGATTTAGCAACACCCTGTCTCAAAACAACAACCACCACCACCACAACAACAACAACAAAATTAAAAAGGGCTGGGGATGTAGCTCAGTGTAAAGGCTCTGGGTTCAATCCTTAGTACCATTTTTAAAAAGTCACTGGCCCTCGAATTAACAGGGTGTAAAAGCCTAGCAAGTCTGAAGCTTGTTCCCTTTGGAATAATACTCTATACCTTTCCTCTTATGTCTAGTTACCTGATCAACTTTGAACTCTGCAGGTTCCAGTTCCCTGAGGCTGGCTATAAATCCTCTGCTTTATAAACAGAATCTGCCTCTGCAATAGTGGCTGGTCTGTCCTGAGCACCTTGAGGCCATAAAATGATGGTTGGAGTACCTAAAAGGCCACAGAGCTGGGACCCCACTACTGGGCTTCCTATTCACACAAATTATTTTGTGCCTGTTTTGCGCAAAACTTTTTTTTTAGTTTTTGAAATAAGGTCTCACTATGGAGTTCATGTTCCAGGCTGGTCTTGAACTCAAGGTGATCCTCCAGCCTCAGCCTCCCAAGTGCTTGCGCCACCACACTGTGCTTTCAAAACTTTAATAAGTATCTGAATAAGTGCACTTCTGTTCAGGTTATCCAGGCCCTAGGGAGCTTGCAGGGAATGCCACCGCCTAATGAGGTGTTGTGCTCCTGGCCTTTCCCCTACTGGCAGGCACAGTTCCTAAAGCAGATAATATCTCCTGGAGCAAAGATAAGAGCAATCATGGTAGCAGAACACGAAGTGCCCCTTAAAGCCTTGGGAATAAAGAAATGATAGCCCTTGAAGACCTAGGATATAGCCCCTAGAATGGATGCCAACAGAGATAGGCAAAGTGCTTTAGGAAGAAAGCTTTGGCTAAGACTAAGGCTGGAGAGGAACAATTCTGATGCACCTGAGATAAAGATCTAAAGAAAGAATGGGTCTGATAAAAATAAGGTTAGTCTAACTTAGGGGAGAAAAGAGTGATGGAAGAGAACAGAATGGGCAGAAACTATCCTTTCATCCAGTTTTGGAAAGTATGTATCATTTCTGCTACACTGTATTCTGTTTTTTTTTTTAGTACCGGGGATAGAACTCTGAAACTTGTATTTGCAAGGCAGACTTGGTTCCCCTGAGCCAAATCCTCAGCCATTCACTGTATTCTTTAGAAGCAGATTACTTACTACCTGTGGCTAACATTCATGAGAAGGGGAATTAGACTTCATCTTTGGAAGGGAGGAACATTAAGGACTTGTTGACAGATTGGAAAACTAGCAGAGCATGTATCAAAGATGTTATAAGAGCATGGCATGGTAGCTTGCAAGCCTGTAATCGCAACACTTGGGAGTCTGAGGCAGGAGGATCGCTGTTTGAGGCCAGCAGAGCTACACAGTGAGTTCATGTCTAGCCTGAACTACATAGCAAGACCCTGTCTCAGAAAACCAAAACCCAAAACACAAGATGTTATAAGAAACACACCAGGCTGCGAGTGTAGCTCAATGGTAGAGTCCTTACCTAGTATGTGTGATGCCCTGGTTTTGGTCCCTAACAGGGAATGGAGGGAGGGAGGGAGGAAGAAAGAAAAGAAAAAACAAAACAAAACAAACCAACAAACCTGATATGTAATATCCATATTTCTCACAGGACAATACTAGCTATGTTTCTCTTGAACAACTAGTTTTTGTCTTGTGATGTGGTAAATCAATCTGTAAATTGTGTTTTCCTCTTTTCTCAGTTGTCAAGAAGCACAAAAGAAAAAAAAAAAGAAGCACAAAAGAAAAATTTTGTTTACCTCCAGCTTGTGTATATGATCTTATGGCAGGCATTTTATAGCTTCAACTTGCCATGACTTCACCTTATTTTCCCACCCTTTCCCTTTATCATTTGTGTGTATACACATGTGTGTGCTATGACATGTGTGTTGTAGCATGTTGCACATATTCATTCTGAATCCCTTTTGAAATGAGGATGTGTGTATTTTTTTTTTTTTTTGGTACCAGGGATGGAACTTGGGACCTTGTGCTTGCGAAGCAGGCTTTGGAACCACTGAGCTAAATCCCCTGCCCAAATGTATGTAAATAAATACAGCTGAATATTCATTTCTCTTTAGATTTGAGGTTGCATGCATAGTTATTTTTTTCTTCATCATGACAATTTTATTGATAGTTTTGGTTTCATAATACTGAAACAATACATAAACAATACATAAAATAAAGTAAAATGATTCCCAAGTCTCACCACCCAGGGAAAAATGTTATTAGCATTTTGATGAATAATCTTCTAAACATCTGTATATAAACATACTCTCAGGCATTTCTACATAAACGAAATCCCTTTTTTTCCTGTCAATTTTTAAAAATGCTTATAATTTTAGTAGCTACCTGCTATTCTATTGTAGTATAATTTAACTACCGTGCAACCTGTCACTCAATTTCCTGCCCAATTGCACTACTGATAGCTTTATTTTACGTCTTGCAGGCACTTCCTTTAAGAAAATGAGATTTGGTTGCCGTGGCCATTAGGTTTACATAGTCTGGGTACAGGTTCATTATTAACTGTTACCCGTATCTCAAATTCTTCTTTCGTTTTAAAATCTCAAAGCTGGTCTGAGGTGTTCTGCTGGTGAAATAAAACAATGGTACTTTTGCCGAATTTACAAAATAATTAAAATCAATGTATGAGATTTCCCGGATACTGAAATATACTCTCATGCATGTTACTAAATTTTTGGCACCTGCTACCACTGTTTTATATTCAACTCCAATAAAAAATGGTGTAGGATTTGCACACATTTTCGTAACCAATTATTTAAGACAGTATGTCAGCATTTCATGATGGTCCCGTGACTTCCAGAAGATCTCTTGGGAGAGCTTTTTGATTCTATCAGCTGGAAACAGCGAATATTACAGAGGAAAGCCCCCTTCCCCTTCACAGGAAGAAAAATAATTGATTCAGCACACTGAGTTTGTTGAAATATTTAAATAACGAAACGAATGCTGGAGAAAGCAGGATACATTTAACACGAATTCAGCTCCAACCAATTGCGGGGAACTGAGATAGAGCCGGGGAGGCTCAGCCAAAGTGAAGGGGAGGTGGCGCCCACGCACAGGCGCTCCGGGCGGGCAATCTGCGGTGAGAACGCCGGTGGAAGGGCTGGACTCTGGCGAGTGTCCCCGCCCAAAGCTTCATATTCTGAGGGCCATGAAATCCATCTTGAGACTCGGGCAGCAATTTCCTTTATTTCCGTCATTAGCGCTCCATTTCGAAGAACAGCAACAAAACCAGCTAACAACAAAGTGTCCCTGATTTCGCTCCTTCTCAAACACTGCACTATATTTAAACTTTTCCTGTAGGATAATAACTAGTACCTTCCGGTACTGAGCCATCGCCCCAGAAACTACAAGTCCCATTGGACTGCACAAGCAGCTCCCCGAGTTCTCGCTCTTCATGCGTCTCACAACGCCGCATTACGCTCCAATCCCGATCCGGGCCTCCAAGCTGGGGCCGCGCGGCCTGCTGGGACTTGTAGTCCGCTCCCGAGCCCCTTCCGCGGTCCGGGCAGGCTCGCGTGGCCTCTGCCTGCCCTTCGGCCCTCGCAGAATCCCAGCCTGGGATTCACTGTTCCTCACCCCCACCGCGGGCCTGCCCCTTGGGGGGGCCAACCTCCTCCGGTCACGTGGGAGGACTCGCGCGCTGCGATTGGCCGTGGGGACTCAGGGGCGGGGCGCAGGGCCCTGAGAGGTTCCGTGCCCGGCGTCGGGCCGCTTGTTTGGCTGCTGCCGTCACCTCATGGCGACGCGGGTAGAGGAGGCAGCGCGGGGAAGAGGCGGCGGCACTGAGGAGGCTGTTGAGGCCGGACGGGGCGGACGGCGACGCAGCCCGCGGCAGAAGGTCAGTCAGGGGGACGTCCTCGTTGCTGCGCCGGGGAGATGCTCGGGGTGCCCTTTTCGGGATCCACCTCTTCACTCTCCCCCGGTACCTTCAGGCACGGGACGAACATCCGGTCTTTTTCCCTCCCGTGGGTGACGACAGTGGGAGCAGGTGGGGGGGTGGGACCAGGATGGATGGGGTGCGAAGGGGCGGTGGCTGGGGTTTGAGGGCGCGCGATACGGGGGGTGAGGAGGGGCAGGGTGCACGCGGGTCTCGGGGGTGCGGGCTGGCAGGGGGGACGTGCCAGGTGTGACAGCCACGTGCGGGGCCGCGGGCACCAGGTGTTCCCTCTCCCACCCAGTGCGGTCGCGGCGCGCCAGTCCCTGCGCCGCGCTCCCTGTGCCTCGCGCTCCGCGGTCCACGGGCTCCCAGGGCTCGGCTCGCCCTCCTGGCGGCGGACAGGTGCGCTGGGCGCGTTTCGGGGCGCCCCGGGCACTCGGGCGCGGCTGTAGCGCTGCAAGGTAACCGTGAGAGCCCCTTCCCCCGCCCCTGCGTCCCCGCCACTGCGGGGTCGGGCGGGAGGCATGGGGGGCGCCGCGGGCGGGCGGGCAGGTGATGCTGGGCGACCTGGGTCCCACAGAGTTGGGAGCAGCATCTCCCGGTCTCTGGTCTTCCCATTCCCAGTTCTGCTCAACACTCCCCTTCCTTTTTCTTTTCTTTTTAATTTGATAAGCAGAAACTCGAGCGCCTCCCCAACCCTGGCCTTTGGTCTTTCCTAATCTGGGAGACAGATTCCGGACCGTTCTCCTTGCCTTCCTTACTTGCCTCCTGTCCAGGAGCTTTCTGTGTCTCCCTGGATACAGTCAAATCAAGACCTTTGCGAATGGGAGATTCCACTTGTTCTGGAGCTCAGTGGGCGGAGTTTGAAAAAGGTTGCACAACGAATAGGGTAGAAGGCTTTTGGGGCCCAGCAAGGAGAACTGCAGGGAATGAGTCTGGGAAGGTCGAAACCCCCTCTTTCTTTTTCTGGCAGGTGAACAGATCGAAAGGTTCAGCTTGTTGGACACCCTGCTTGATCACTCGAGGCTATTTGATATACTTATGTATCTGGCTAATTTTAGAGATCACTCTTGTATGAAATTACGAAATAAGTAATATTTTTCTAATGCAATTCATGAACTTCAAAAGGGAGAACAAAGGTCCATTGCACATTTGAGCAAATGTCAAGCATCTGGCTTTTGGGGCCTGTTTCTAAGGTCCGGTCTCAGCGTGAGAGTGTTACTACTTCTGTTACCTTTCTCTCTTACTTTGTATTCTGAAAGGATACAAAGGATTAAAAAAAGAGATCCAGTGCTTGTAGGACTGAGGCTGTGGGCGTCTGTACTTTAGGGTTTCCACACTGTCACATTGGGCACTTGACTTATTCCCTCAGGGTTCGAAAGCTAGTCTCAGTGTTTGATTTCTTAGGTTTCCCAGGAGAGAACTCCCCGATAAAAAGCCACTGCAATTGAGGACAGAAGTGCCCTTTTATGCCACTAGGATAAGGACAAAAAGTCATTGAATTAGGAACCAAGGTTTAATCAACTAGTATTTTAAAGTACCAAGATAAGAGGTAATGACCCTTCCAGCACAAAGCTTTGGTTAACAACTAGATTTGAATAGTCATGGGTCTCTCCACTGCCTTATTTATGTTTACCTACTTTGTCCTCCTTTCATCTTTGCTAATGTTTCTGTGGGAATCTTTTTCCTTTTGGTTTCCTACCGACTTTGACGTGGAACTGAAACACACTGTTAAATGTCAGTTTTAAAATTTTCATTAAAAAAAATTGGGTGAATGTTGTCAATTTTGAGCCTGCCTGGTGGTGCGTGCCTGTAATCTCCGCATTTGAGAGGCTGAGAGGACAGTGGAGAGTTGAAGACCAGCCTGAACTACTTCCTGAGACCTTGTCTCCAAACACCAAAACACCACAAAAAACAAAGCCAAAAATCCTGGACTGGGGATTGTACTCAGGGCCTTCACACTGAGCTGTTATCTCCAGCCTTTTAAAAAGTTTTTACTTTGAGACAGGGTCTCACTAAATTGCTTTCCTCCAGGTCACTAAATTGATAAAATATTCCTTAATTCTAACTCGGCCTCTACCCTCTTTTTCTGGAAGCAGAAATGATGTGTAACAAATTGGGTTGTTTTTAAAAAACTGGAAAAATTAAAAGCCACTTGTTATGGGACTTGAAGTGAGGACAGTTGGAGATTGGCTTTGTTGGTTCCTGGGTTCCTGGTCATTAGACTCATCTACCTAGTCACTTTTTTTTTTTTTTGAGGCAGGGTCTCCCTGTGTAGCCCAGGCTGTCCTTGAACTCCCTGCGATCCCATCCTTCAGCACCAGGGATCAAACTTGGGACCTTGTGCTTTCGAGGCAGATGGTGGAACCACTGAGCTACATCCCCGGCCCTGGGGGAATTGTTTAAAGCTGCGGATCTGGTAGCCACTAGCTCTTTGTAGCTTTTTAAATTTGTCAAATAAAGGTTTTAAATTATGTCCCTCAGTCATACTAACCAAATTTCAGGTGTTCCAGTAGCAGTATGGCTAGAGGAGGTCAGAGGAGGTCTATAGTATGTATCCACCACTGCATAAAGTTCTGTTGGCTAGCACAGCCTTAAAAGGAGTGTACACTTATCAAGTAGTCCAGGTGCTTTTATTTATTTTTTATTTTTAGGCTTTTTGAGACAGAGTATTGGTGTGTAGTTCAGGCTGGCCTTGAACTTGCGAGATCCTCTTTGCCTCAGCCTCCCAAGTGTTGGGATTACAGGTATGTGCCACCATGCCCAGGCACATCCAGGTACATTTAGAGTATCAAGCTCATTTGTATTGCTTCTTAAATCCTTATGTAGAATTTGTTTCATAAGATTTTTTTTTAAGTAGACATTTTGGAGCAATTTTTAGTTTTACAGAAAAATTGAGTAGAAAGTACAGAGCTCCCATTAAACTCCTTCAGAATACTATTTCCCCTTATTTACATCTTGTACTAGTGAAGTACATTTGTTACAATTGTTGAGGCAACACTGCTAGGTGCAGTGATACAAACCTGTAATCCTAGCACTCGGTAGGCTGAGGCAGGAGGGTCGTTGTGGGTTCAAGGCCAGCTTGGGCTACATAAGGAGTTCGAGGCCAGCCTGAACTACATAGCAAGAGCCTGTCTCCAAACAAAAGGAAAGATAAAAAAATATAAAACAAGCAAAACTAAAACCACAAACATTGTTCAGGCAACACTGATGTAGTACATTAGTGCTGCCTCAGCCCATAGTTCACCTTAGGGCTTACTCTGGTGTTGTACAATATTTGACAGATGTCTACTAATATATAGCTACCATTACAGTGTCACACAGAATAGTTTCACTGGCCTGAAAGTCCCCATGCCTCTCAGTCATCTTCCCTTCTTCCTTCAAAATGCTGGCAAAGCTGATGATTTTACTCTCCATAGTTTTGCCTTTTCCAGAATGCCTAAGGTAGGTTTTTTTTGTTGGCAGGGTTATTGTATTGGGAATTTTGGGGATTGAGCTGAGGGCCTTTCTACTGAGTTATAGCTCCTCCCATTCAAAATCCTTTAAATTTTTTTTTTTTTTGGGTACTGGGGATCGAACTCAGGACCTCACGCTTGCAAGGCAGGCGGCGGAACCACTGAGCTAAATCCCCAGCCCAAAAATCCTTCAAAATTTTGAGACAGGATCTTGGTAAGTCGCTAAGGTGCCCCAGCTGGGCTCAGACTTGGAATTCTCCTGCCTCAGACTCCTGAGTGCTGGGTTTACAGACCTGTGCCACCATGCCTGCCATTATTACCTCAACAATTTAAACTAAATTTTTGCTTGAAAATGTTAAAAATTACTTAGCTACTATTAAACATATTTTTAGGTTCATAAACTATTTAGAAGGCTAAAAATATATGGAATTTAAACTCAACAAACTCTTCCTTTTAAATAGTGCTCTAATAGCATTTGTTATTGTTTTGTTTTGTTGGTATTTGAGGCAGAGTCTCGCTGTGTAGTTCAGCCTGGCCTTGAACTCACTGTGTAGCCCAGGCTCTCCTGGAACTCTCTCAGTGATCCTGCCTCAGCCTCCTCAGTACTGAGGACTACGGTTGTGCGCCGCCATGCCTGGCTCTGCACCTTAATTCTTTCAGCACCACTCAGATGCCATGGAGAAGGCTTAGGCAGCTTTCATTGGCCTCATTTAATGGTGACAAACTGCTCTTCAAGGTCGAGGGACTTGCCTAAGGGTTGAAGCTGAGTCTGGAACCCAGTACCCTTTCATCAACACTGCGGTAATTAGCACAGTGAGGGTAAGTAGTTTGGATTTTAGAGTCAGGACTCTTGGCATGCTGCCACTGGAAAGCTGCTCAACCTCAGGCAGATTTGTCATCTGGGAGCCTCCTCTGCATCATCTGTGAAGTGGGAGGGACGCTCAGGCCCACCCCATTAGGGTTAAGAGTGGGCGTGACATTGGTGCGGCACTGGTCCTAGGGTTTGATGGGCTTTGGTGGGGAGAGTATCTGAAAGACGCATCTCTTGCTTTAGAGTGCTGCTGCTTAAGTAACCCAGTTCCCCACCTTTCTGTTCCCCTCTGCCGAATCTGTCTGATGGAAGGAGAAGTCGGTCAGGGTGGGCCAAGAGATGGGTAGGAAGAAACCATTTTGTTAATCTTTTTTCTCCTTATTTGCCAACTTGAACTTCTTTGCTGGCACAGATACTAAATAATAAGAAGCAAAGTGAGCTTCTATTTACAACATTGTTTTCTAACGGTATTGCCAAGCTTTGGTAAATTTCATGTTTTATGAGGTTCAAACAGGAAGAGCAATAATGAGAAGAGACCAGATATTGCAGTTCCTGTAGTAATAACACATTTCCATATTATAACATGCCATGTTTAAGTTACATTTAGGAAACTATGTCAAATCCAGATGACATAAAATGGTGTGTGTATATATGTGATTTGTTTTTGTGGGATTCTTCCCCCCACCCCTCAGTGC